AAAATAAGATGTCAACTTAGGAAGTTTGAAGTCCTACCCTCACAGTCTTAAGTAGCTTTGGTAGGCATTAGGGCAAATGGGCTCTGTGAGTCATGTGGACACCATGAAGTACATTCACCACCATCATTCCTCATTTCGCTCATGTAAAGAGGCCCTTACAGTGAGAAGAGCATTGCTAAAATTCCTCAATGCCTGCTTCATGAAGAAAATAAGTAAAGACTTATATCACAATTACCTACATACTTTACAAGTTACAACAATGACTATAAGAAGATTTTGTATTATCATCATCATCATCATCATCATCATCATCATCATTATCATCTATATTATTATAATGTGTATTTAAATACCACTTTTTCTCTCCAGAGAAGACTCAAAATAGCTAACACTAAAAATCATAACAATGAGTAAATTAAAACCTAAAGCATGTACACATCAAAATAAAATTAAATATATGAGCATTAAAATACATCGGAAAAACCAGTAAAACCATTTCAAAATATAGAAAAATCTTTATACCATTTTAGAAATGTTGAAAATTTATGATGTACTTACGTAAACTGCACCCTCTGAGCAGTACAACTCCTCCAAAAGAAGTAACTTTTGCTATTAATGTATATATAGTAATGGAAATCAATTAAGCAAGGGGAACATGTTCCAAGATTAATCCAGTCTGGTTGAATTTTTTAAAAAGATAATTTCAGCAACTGATATTCAATGAATGATCAAGCGATGGGCCTTGATATTCATAAAACGTGATTTATTTGTATTTTTCTGCCCATAGTTCCACTTCCTGCATTGCCAAGAAAAGAGATACTGATATCCTAATCTAGAACATCTTGACTGACAACCAAAGTAACTTCTGAGACAAAATGTAGACTTGTATCAAAAGGCATAAAATATATCCTGTCATTTTTGATGCCTCACCAGCTCACAAGTTATTTTTATGTTTTTTAGTTGGCCCTATAAATGTATCAGTGTAGATTTTGTAGTACAGTATGACCCTCCCCCCGTGTCCACAGAACCGATACTTATGATATCAATTGCCCATTTCAAACATTATTTCTCTCTTGTCATTTTCTTTCTTTTTATTATAATATATTTTTATTGAATTTCTTAATTTACAAGGAAAGTTGGGGAACAATCGTGAGGTATAGGAAAGTCCTCCAGGGCATTTGATGGTATTCTTCCACTAGAAGTTCACAAGAGAGTCACAGTGAAAGATATTGAAATGCTACAAAGATATCTTCTCTAGACATTTTCTAAGTCCTTCAAAATGATTCTATGGTATGTTTCCAACAAAAATCATTCATTTCAATAGAATGTACTATTCACTTTTCCACAGTAAATCCAGGAAGATATCCCCTGCGTATGTATTTTGTTTTATCTACATTATTCTTGTCAGGAGGTATTATAAAAGTACATCCACTCAACTCAATCTTGCCCTTTATTAATAGTATTTTCCTGTTACGTAGTTACTCACCTGTTTCCTAGACAACAATTAGAGTATGGCGTAAGCCACATGTAAGATCACTATTTCCTCCATTATAACACAATTATTCTAATAATCTTACTACTGTATTAACGAGAACATATTTTATCTTGATTTTGTTCCATTTTGTTTGCGCAAAAAAAAAAGTTTGGTGGGGAGAGTATTAATAGAACAAATATCTTCTAAAGGGTATTCACAAATAGCTATTTTAGCTTCTGAATTTTAACCTGCATTTTAACTCTGTGTATCTTGTATTTTATTAGTATTTTATCTCTTTAACGATGTTGTACCCCACCCCGAGTCACAAGGAGAGATGGGTAATAAATGCATTACATTATTGTTATCATCATCATCTTCATCATCATTCCTTGGAAGACAGTCATACTCGGTCACAAGTGATCACCAATGATGATGATGATGGCTACTATTACTACTATTATTGTTGTTGGTCTTTATTAGGCTGCAAAGAAGCCGATTGAATTTTCTCCCATAGAGATGAGATGCAAAAAATATATTTTTATTATTGCTTGTATAATATAGATGTTATTTTTCTTTATATATTTTTTCAAAAATAATTTATTAAGGTTCTTTTCTCTGTGATGTTGTCTACAATACCCCCCCCCCACACACACAATATGATTAGACCTCAGCAAAATCTAGCATCTCTTCCTATTTCATTATATGTATGCAACCATACTTCCAGTGCTAGGAAGCATGTATCCTTCCAGATGTTGTTGGATATTAGTATAGGGCAGTGGTTCTCAACCTATGGGTCCCCAGATGTTTTGGCCTTCAATTCCCAGAAATCCTAAGAGCTAGTAAACTTGCTGGGATTTCTGGGAGTTGTAGGCCACAGGTTGAGAACCACTGGTATAGGGCAATATGTAAGATGCAAAGATTCACGACCAAACTTCGCTCAACATTGTGGGCCATTCTGAGAAAGACCAGATGATATTGTGCCACTTCCTATTGCCATTTCGAGAGGGATTCTGGGGATGATATTGGGTTTTGAGGTGCAGATGGAAATAGGGTTATTTTCATGTGTTTTTGAACATGGGGAGGGTTGCATGGCATGTGGACTAAAAGTGCCCAAACATTGTGGTAAAAATTTAAATTCAGAAGGCTTTGGGCCATCACAACATTTGGAGACTTTGGGGCATGCAGCCTGAAGGCAACACTGTGCCTGTTTCTGGTTTAGGTTATACTTGAGCCTAAAAGAGGCTTCACTTGATGACAATGGATATGGAATTTCCTTTGGGTATGAAATAAGATAAAACAAATTAGAATTGGGTATGGAATTTCCATTGGGTATAAAATAAAAGAAACCAAATCTATTAATTAGGATTTGTCCTAAGAGAATGAAGAACAAATTAGAACTGGCTGGAAAAAGCCATACCATTCAGTAGAAAGAAATTAATAATTCATTTGGACTTGTCTTGGATACTGGAAAAATGTACCCATAAGTTAATCTATATGACACACAGGAACCATTTAATGATGATTTACTCCGGAGCTGGTTGCTGCTTAGAGACAAGAGATGTAAAAGGGATATAAAATCCATGAAGGAAAATCCCAGTCTCTAAAACAAATCAATCTAAGGAAAACCCATCTCTCCTAATATCTCTTTTTAAAAATCTGGACAGCCTATGTAGGGTGAGGGGGGGGGGGAGGCAATATGATTGTATCTGTAAATATATGATTAGTGTATTCTAATAAATGCAATTTTAATTGTAAAGGCATGAAGTCTTTGTCTTACTTGTAGTAACAAAGCCAAGGGGCTCTTGGCTGGGATAAGTCTGGAGTAATTGCTCCAGAGTGAACATGATGGTGGCCAAATACACCAAACCTACTGTGGCACCATAGCACCTCATTCTCCATGTCATTGTTGCTGCTCCCCATCGGCCATGGAGTTCACTGTGAGTGCCTGGCCAATCCCCTGTCATGTCAGCTGATGCCAAATGTCATCAGCAAGGTGAAAGTAGGGCAACTCTCCTTCTTACTGCTCCTGCAAATGTCTTGTTCTGACATCAGCAGATGTGACTATGATGGCCAAGTAGTTGCAGCAAACTCTATGACCAGCAATGTGTGGTGATGGTGACACAGGGACAAGCCAAACACTTATCCTGCATTGATTAGCACTGTGAAAGTGTGATGGATGGGGGATCGAGCTGAATGGAACAGGTTCCATTCAGCTATCCAGATAGATGCAAAGTGCATAGATACTCCAGAGTTCCCTGCAAACTCCAAAGTATCCCTTACGTTTGCCCAATAGCAGGGCAAAGTTAAGTTAAGGGCAGAAACCCCAGGATACCCACTGTAAGTCCCTATGTATCAGGTAGACAATCAGTGGTGGATTCAATGTGAGTCTGAGTTGTTGCTGTTAGTTACCAGACTACAAACCCTAGGACACTATGGGATGTATCCATTGTAATTAAAAAGGAAATCATAATGCTACATCTGTGTAATTTGAAAGGTCTTTGTTTACTTTTAGGACAAAGAGCAGAGCATAATTACTTTTTGTAAACACAAGTTCCACACTCTAGAACAGTGGTTCTCAACCTGTGGGTCCCCACGTGTTTTGGCCTACAAATCCCAGAAATCCCAGCCAGTTTATCAGCTGTTAAGCTTTCTGGGAGTTGAAGAACAAAACATCTGGGGACCCACAGGTTGAGAACCACTGCTCTAGAAGCAGCCAAGAGGAACTTTATGCATCAGGTCTACAGAAAATAGTACTTCCAAGGGTAGCAGGACCAAGGAAAGCATCTTCTACTTTCATATAAGGGCACAAAAATGTATGTATTTTTCCAGGTTTTCCTTTGTTCCTTATAGTTTGGCATAAAGGTGTCTCATAAAAGTATGAAATTAACCTCCAGCATATAAAACAATCAAGATTTCATTATTTAGCTTAACCAAACAGAAAACACGAGGCAAACTATTTCCTGTAACCCATGACAAGTAAGATATGTCACGCTTTTGAATTCTTTCGAGTTAAGTGTTGACTATTTCTTTCCTTATTCTGCTAGTGTGAAACAACTGACAGATGGTGACTTCTTACTTCAGAGACACCATGCTGGCAAGCAGAAATAATCCCTGAGGCATGTATGTGACAAAATGTATTCCCAGGATTATGGCAATGGATGTAGACCCTTGAAGAAAACAACAGGTGGTCTTCAGAAAGCTGAGATACAATTTGCTTCTACTGGTAGCTGGTGTAATGAAGAAAATGGTACTGCAGGATATGAGACAAACTTCATGAAACATTGACATAAGGGAAATAGATGTATTCTTTTTATATTTGAGTAAAGAATGAATGAATCAAACAGAAAAACAACATTTATTATCTTCTTTCATCATGAAAGGTAATCTGCTTGATTTAAAGGTTAAATCAAGTCTTCATTTTTTAACAAATATTGCTTCAATCATAATTTAAAACATCGATGTATATCATATCTAACAAATATGCTTAATACTGTCAAGTCAATAATACAAACAACTTCATCACCAGATTTATTTATTTATTGTGCCAGAAGCAAATTGAGAATACAGTTGAAATGGATTTAAAAACATAAACAAAGTTTTAAAAAGAACTAGACATTATGCTAAATGTCCTTTGACCAGAAGCTGGCCACTTCGAGTGCCTATGGTGTTGCTGTGAGAAGGTCCTTCATTGTGCATGTGGCAGGGCTAAGGTTGCATTGTAGTAAGTGCTCTGTGGTTTGCTCTTCTCTGCACTTGCCTGTCGTAGACTCCACTTTGTAGCCCCATTCTTAAAGTTAGCTCTGCTTCTTGTGGTGACAGAGTGCAGCCTGTTCAGCACCTTCCAGGTTGTCCATACTTCTGTGTGCCCAGGAGGGAAATTCTCATCCAGTCTCAGCCACTGATTGAGGTGCTGTGTTTTAACCTGCCGCTTTTGGACTATTGCTTGCTGAGGATTTCCTGAAAGTATCTCTGTAGATTTTGGGAAGCTATTTCTTGATTTAAGGCATTGGCATGCTGGCTGATATCCAAACAGAGGATGCAGCATCACAGAATGACAAATGTTGAGATCTGCTTGTTTCTTAACTTACTTTCATTTGAAATATTGCCTGCCTGTTCTGATTTCTCTATGTTTCTTTTTGTTCTATTTCTTGCTGTTGTCCTTGGCAATTTTTGGAGAAGAACAACTTTAGGTTAGAAAACACTGGCTTAGTGTTCAACCCCAGTATGTTAGTGACTGAAGTTTCAAAGAAGTTAGCTTCTCTTCCTTTTTTAACAAGCAGTTCCTGTGGAAGGATAAGGGTCATGAAGTGCAAAGAGGTACACAAAATCTTTCATTTCTAAGAACATTTTAAAAAGCCACTACCACTTCCATCCAAACTTGAATTCTCAACAAAAAAAAAATGTGAAAAGCTATATAAGGGAAGCAAAGAGCTATTGAAGATTGATAATTCACAAATAGATGCATGTATAGTAATGTTGCATTGCTATTGGGGATAGTGAGTGATTAATTTCCCATGCCTAATGACTGTTCTTAGCTCTTTCAGTAGTTCCGATGTCTTTCTGGGTTTTCAACATCTCTGACTGTTGATATAATCTATAAGAAAAGAGAAGATTTACATTAAGTTTTAGGTCACAGTTTAAACTGTTGTTGCGTTGATTGGTGACTGGAGACTTAGGTTGCTTTTGTAGCCTGCTAAGTTGGAAAGGAGTGTTGAATTAAAAAAATATATGTACACACAAAAACCTAGGGTTCTATTTTTAAAAACAGAATTCTCAAACAGCTCTGTCCCAAATTATTTGCCCCTCAACGATACGATAAAATTACTTTGGTAGAAACAAAATGAATGTTTGTTCAGTATCCCCATCAAGCTGCTATGACTGGTATTAATGGTAGAAATGATGGAAATGGCTGTGTATCAAATTTTTGCTTCTTTGCTGTGTACAGAACTTTCTCCACTTTGTTTCTCGGCCAGCCTCACAAAGCATGCTAACTCAGCCAGACATGACATTGTGATAGGTTTATTTATATTTTATTTTTATTAGAGTACTAGTTATACCCCACTCTTTAGCCTCAAAGATATCAGACAAAAAATCTTCTTTATTAGTTTAGTGATATGAACCCATTCACTGATTGCAGGAAAGATGAACATAAATAGAATGGAGAAAGAACTTCACGTGGCTGCTAAAGACTATTTTGTGGTCCATGAGAGGCCTTGTTATGGCCCAGAAACTTCTCAGAGATCCACATTTTTTCTGAAATTGGCCAAGAAGGGCAAAAATAATCCAAACAGCCAAAAAACATGATGCTTTAGGTTTCCTTGACCCCCTTCCACCACTACTACACAACTTCTCCTGAACCTCATACTTCAGCCCCATTTCATTCCAATTCCTGGAGCAATACAGGGGAGAAGTGATATCGTGCATCCCTAAATGTGCAAATTTGAGAATTCTGATATGGAATAGTGGAAAAGGAAATCCACATCAGAAATGTCAATGTGCAGTATTAACAGCAGAAGAACAGTGACTAACACAGAAAGCATAATTCTCTTGCAGTTTTATACATCTGCCTCTATATGTACACATATACAATCAAGAAAAATGCAAATACAACTTCCATCAATATTCCTTCCACAATCATAAAATATTTAATCTGTATTATTTAACACAATCCTTCCAAGAAACATATGGTATCACACATAAAATTTGCAATGCCATCTGTGTGTCATCTTTTTCCTCCCACTTGAAAATATTCATTCGTGCTAGTATTTTGTTCTAGCATCCCAGTCTCATTTTATTTACCGCATTTAATAGTACTCTATGCTATTTCAAAAAATGTATCCTCCAAAGTGACCTAGCAGTTTAAAAAGAACACATATTTTTGATCACTGAGGATTATAGTGTCATTGAGGGTACCGTCACTGATAGTCTTCAGTAGAGTAATTAAATAAATGTGTAGATCAAGGTTCATATACAATAAAGTGATGATCTTTTAAATTAAAAATAAGTGAATTTTAATTTAAGATTTTGTGTGTTATTTTTTAATAATGGCATTTCCCTTTGATACTATGTATGTTACTGGGTGACACCTGTTCGGCTCCACAGCCATTGTCGTGTGGAGTCCCTCAGGGATCTATTCTGTCCCCAATGTTGTTTAACATCTACATGAAGCCGCTGGGGGAGATCATTCGGAGTTTCGGACTGCGGTGTTATCTCTATGCGGATGATGTCCAGATCTGTCACTCCTTTCTCACCTGTCACCAAGGAGGCTGTCCAGACCTTGAATCGGTGTTTAGCAGCTGTGTCGGACTGGATGAGAGCTAACAAATTGAAATTGAATCCAGACAAGACAGAGGTCCTACTGGTCAGTCGTAAGGCCGAACAGGGTATAGGGTTACAGCCTGTGTTGGATGGGGTTACACTCCCCCTGAAAACGCAGGTTCGCAGCTTGGGAGTGATCCTGGACTCATCGCTGAGCCTGGAACCCCAGGTCTCAGCGGTGGCCGGGAGAGCTTTTGCACAATTAAAACTTGTGCGCCAGTTGTGCCCGTACCTTGGGAAGTCTGGCCACGGTGGTCCACGCTCTTGTTACATCCCGAATAGACTACTGCAACGCGCTCTACGTGGGGTTGCCCTTGAAGACTGTTCGGAAACTTCAACTAGTCCAGCGAGCGGCAGCCAGATTGCTCACTGGAGCGACATACAGGGAGCACACCACCCCCCTGCTATGCCAGCTCCACTGGCTGCCGGTTCAATTCCGAGCACAATTCAAGGTGCTGGTTTTAACCTACAAAACCCTGTACGGTTCTGGTCCAGTGTATCTGTCCGAACGTATCTCCCTTTACGTCCCACCTCGGAGTTTGAGATCATCTGGGGAGGCCCTGCTCTCGACCCCACCACTGTCACAAGTGAGGCTGGTGGGGACGAGGAGCAGGGCTTTCTCAGTGGTGGCCCCTCACCTGTGGAACTCACTCCCGGGGGAAATCAGAGCATCACCATCCCTCCTCTCCTTCAGGAGGAGGGTGAAGACATGGTTGTGGAACCAGGCCTTTGGGCAACCAGGCAATTAAATAAGACTACTAAATAAGGCAATCAGATGTGTAAGATCAGCAGGATTGTCGAAGTGGAATCAAAAACAGATCTTTGAGTTAGTGTACACTGATAGGTAGGAAGAAGAATTAGGTTTGTATTGTTCTTATTGTTTTTATCAATTTTATAGATTTTATTGAGATAATGGCTTGAATTGTTGGTACTTTGAATTGTTGTACTTTTGTGATGATTGTTTGTGTGGCAGGCACCTAAGTGTGCCTTGCTGTTGTAAGCCGCCCTGGGTCCCCTTCGGGGTGAGAAGGGCGGGATACAAGAACCCCCAAAAAATAAATAAATAAATAAATATGTTTTACAACCTTATTACAAAGGGGAGCCCCTCCCTCCCGTATCATTTCACCAGTAATGTGGGGAAATGGCAGATGTGAGGGACAACTCTCTTTCCCCACATGCTGCTCTACTGCAGTGACACTTTCCCCATCATACAGGGGAAGTGTCACCCAAATAGGGCAGAAGCCTCCTGTGTTGAGAAGAAAGCATACAGTGACGCTTTCACCGTGGTTGAGGGCAGAGCAAGTCACACCATGTTGTGTGATGGCTGCTAGGGAGCTCCGTCCCCAAAGAAGGCTCTAAGCATCCTAAGATGCTTATTTTCGGCAATGTGATGAGGTCCTTTGAAAATGCTATTATTCTAGATCACGAATTAGGAACATGTGGCTCTCAAGACTGCAAATTCCATAATTCCTCTTCACTGGCTATCTAGAAGCTTGTGATCATTTCATTTTATCAGTTTTAGATAAACTATTTAATCAGTTTTAAATAAACCATTTTATGCAATTCTTTTGACACAAAATAAATAAATACATAACTGGCTCATAACTGGCTCTGATGATTTGAGCTATTGGGAATTGCAGTCCAAAAACCTTAAGGACCACCGCTTGCACACAACCTGCACTAAAACATAAACATTATCTATGTCAGTCAGTCGTTTATATACCATCTTTCTCCTGGCAAAGGATCCAAAGAAGCTTCAACAATATTGTTGAAGTGCTAAACTTACTCAGCATTGATCTGGCGGTAGTAGATACAGAACCTTTGCCATAGATTTAGAGAGATAACAAAGGAATTTTCAACATTTCTTCTCAGAACAACGATACTACTGCTCCCTGAAACTATATTCTTGCATATTTTTTGTAAGTTCAGTATCCTGAAATTCTGAAAATACTGTAAGACCAAATCCAGACTTTGGAATCCTCTCCTTAGAGACACCAGGATGGCCTTATCCCTGTTTGCCAGTCACAAACAGGTGAAGGCATAGCTCTGCCATTTGGGGAATTATTTTAATTGTATTTTTTTGCAATTTCATTGCATTTTAATTTTTGTAATCCATAAAACAAATATTTAATTATTCTTAATTACTTTGTATTTCCCTTGTTTTTAATTTTTTTGGGGTTGTGTCATGTTGTTGTTAGCCACCTTGAGTCCCTACAGGGAGAAAGTCAGGGTAGAAATTAAGTAAATAAATAAATACATAAATATGAAAAACAGCTGCTTCAGTTTATTTGAACAAAGTGATTTTAAAGAAATCTAATTCTAATATTGAATACTAAATGAGCATTTGTTCCTCATATGTGGTGGAGGTTAGAATAAAAGCAGCTATTTTCTTTTGAAAGGATTCTTTTTGTTCATCTGCACATGCTTGTAGTGTTACTAAACTATTAATAATGAACAGTCTCCATATGTGCAATTTTGGTAAATATTTGATAGCAGATTTAATTTGTTTTAATTTGTCATAACATTGTTTTAATTTGTCATAACATTCATAAACAGCTGATGTACAGTAGCAGTATTTGGCAGCAACCAACATTTTACCAAAATTGGCAGTGTTCTATATCAGAATTTTTGATGTTTAACATCTGACTTGCAGGTAAATTTATTGTTGGTATCATCTCTGCACAGTTTTAAATTATTTAGATATAAAATTACATATGGTCAGCTCTCCACATTTGCAAATATTGCAGATTTCATTATTTATTACTTTGCTTTAAATATTATCTCAAAGAATTTCTAGGTTCCCCAGTGTGGTTTTATGGGTAACTTCTGATGATATATAATAGAAGCATTTTAATATTTATTTTATTACATGTTTATAATATCTACAATATTATAATGCAGTGATAAATTATAATTTAAAATCTTGCTTTTATTTCACTCCCCACCCTCCCTCACCTTCCTCATTCATAGATGTTTACAAATTACTTCCTTGCCAATCCTCAAATTATCCTCGACTCAATTGTCTTATTTTGTTAAAATAAATGTCATATTTTCTTTAAGTCATTCATCCAAAATCTTACATGATCTAACAATGGTTGAAATCTGTAATTGCCCTAGCACATATCACTAATAAATGGTTTCCATATAAGGTAAAGGTTTTCTCCTGATATGACATGTCCAACTCTGGGGGGTGGTGCTCATCTCCATTTCTAAGCCAAAAAGCCAGCATTTTCCATAAACACCTCCAAAGTCATGTGGTCAGCATGACTGCATGGAGTGGTACCTATTGATCTACTCACATTTGCATGCTTTCGAACTGCTAGGTTGGCAGAGGCTGAACCTAACAGTGGAAGCTCACCCCACTCCCTGGATTCAAACTGCCAACCTTTTGGTCAGCAAGTTCAACAGCTCAGCAGTTTAACCCGTTGTGCCACTGTCGGCTCCCAAGTTTCCATATAACTTTGAACAAATTATTTTTTATTTCTCCTCTTATTTTGTATGTTATTTGTTTCTGTTGGAATTTGACCATAGAATCATGTTGGAGGTCCTAGAGATTCCTGGAGCGGGGTTTTCTTATGTTAGAAAAATAGCCATTTTTAATTCACATTTTTCCACATTCATGCAGGTCCAACACCCCTAACTCCAGTGAATGTGAAGAGGTGATTGTCTAAAATATCTATTGAACAAAAATAGGATGAAAAACAATTCTGTGAAATGTGGAGAGTATATTCTGGTGTGATCTTAATGCTGAATCTCTACAATTGTTACATCTATAAGTGAAGATATTGATGTAAAACTGAATCACAGTATAATCATATAGGGAAGGAATAGGAGAAGATTCCTAACCTTTCATCTAGCTCATTTTCAAGGTTGGAGGTGGGAGCAGAGCCTTTCCCACTATTATGTTATAATACATTTTTATTAATCCATATATTAAACAATAATGTATGTCATCTTCTAGATTCACAGGGACAACTGGAATGCTGCCTGTTTTTGTTCACTTACTGAATTTGATTAATTGCATCGCCATTTTACAAATCAATTTCTGCTCTTCCTCCAGCCACCAATCTTTCAGAGCTACAAAAAACAATTGAAATCCTATTACTTTTTCAAATCTTTATCTTAACCTGTGAATATGAGTTTTTTTATTCTAGGAACAAAGAATAGCTGCCTTTCTCATGCTTGCACTGTTTACAAAGAAGAATGTACTATATTTTAACCTTTATTGTACTCTTTAATTGTATTGCTTATCCACCTCTTTCTCATAAGAGAATGGAAGAGACTTGACTCTTCAGCAAAACAAATCAAATGACTCTGTAAAGGTCAAAACAATATAGTTTGCTATTAAAGAGGAAGACATTAGCCACATCTAATCCACATTCTTCTGACAAAGATTCTAACAAGATGAGAAAATGGCAGTGCCTTAATCCATTTTAATGCCGGAAATAAGTCTTGATTCAAATTTAACCCATTCTTATGGTCACTACTTTGATGACTTGTGAAAAATTGCATATAATGTGTTATTTGGAGGAGCTGCAGAAAGCAAAACAGTTCTATCCATGCAGCAGAAGCAGTATAAAAATTCAGAGGGAAATATTCTCTTGCTTTCCAAAATTCTTCTTTTCTCAGTCAAATGGTGGGTCGTAGCTTTCTAACTATTCTAATTATTTTTCTCTGTTCTAGCTGTTTTATATCATTCATAGCACTGCATGTCAAATTATGACAATGCAAATGTCAAACAATCATATGCTAGTCTGGGAAGTGCAAATTCCACATTGGTTCTCTTGGCTTTATTTTATACCTTGGTTTGAGGTTGAATTATTATGCTTGTTTTTTAAACTATTGAATGACTTAAAAATTATTTCCTTGATTTTAAAAAAAATTAAAGTATTTTAAACTCTCCTCAAATTGATATAAGCAGCATAGAAATATGTTAATAAAGATGGGCTGCCCATTTAGTCATGCAGTCTTTTTCCTATTCCATTTCTGTTGACCACTGCAAAGGGATTTTATACATTTTAGTTATTATCTTTTTTTAATATCAGTATTTTGTCCCATATTGAGTCTTTGGACATACAATAAAAATGGAAGATTGGGAGAAGATCTGGAATACTAAATTAAAATATACATATTCATATGACCATAAAGAAAATTGGCACAAGGTGGTACAGGATGCACAAAATTGGCAGTGGTGCATGATGCCACAAAAATTAGCCAAGTGTTATAAAAACATTCAAGATCAATGTTGAAAATGTGAAGCTCAGATGGGCACTTTTTCCATATGTGGTGGGGATGCAGAATTGCAAAAGCCTTCTGGAAAACTATCCATTAAACCATATGGGGAATATTGAAAATTAAATTCCAAATGAAGGCAGAATATTATTTATTAGGCCTGACATATATGAAATATTGGGGAAAATGAAATCAGAAAACATTAATATAAATACATAAAGACGGAGAGAACAACAAGATATATATACATAAATAGACATTATACTCTGATGGAAAACTTGGAAGTCAAATAATCATTCCTCAAAGATTCTGTATTTTCTTTTTTCTCTTTTTTATTAGTAGGCTTTTACCTTATACACTTTTAAAATTCTTTTTCCTTTTTATTATTTCTTCATCAAGAAAAAACATCTTTTTATTTTATGTAAATGTGGTATTTTGTCACTTTTACCTTCACCCTCCATCCCCACTACCTAATATCCTTGAAATAAAAATTATTTTAAAAAAGAAATATGTTAATAAATACATAAAAATGAGATACTTTTCATTACGCTCCGGCACACTTTGTTTTTTAAATCAGCACAGACAAATGTGTGAAAATTATGACAAAACGTATGTTTTGACTGAATAATAATGTATGTTCAAAAATTTCTGGAAGCATCAAAAATAGAATGCAATACAATCAGCACCCTTTTCTATAGGTTTACAAACAGAATGTAAAATGGCAAAGCTAAAGAAACATATCCTATCTTTCACATGGACTTTTTCCATTTGGCAGATCTCAGTTTCAATTAAAGGAAGAGAAGGCAATATATGTAATATGTATGAAAGGATGAAACAATATTTGTATAAAAGATTGCCTGCTGTTATGAATTTTTACAGAGACATATTGTGGTGTGTCAGAACAGAATGATGAAAACTTAAAGTTTAACCATTTTCTTCTAGAATACAGAATGAATTTGAAATATAGCCATTGATCTACCATATTTAATTATAATCAATCGTCTATATATTTCATATGAAATGCTATCCCTGAACTCCACTTGAGTTGGATCTACACTGCCCTATATGTAATAAGTAAATGAATACATAAATACACAAATACACTACCAGAAAATCTAGGATAAGCAGATATTCTGGGATTGGATCCTGGGATATAGGACAGTGTAGACCCAGCCTTAGGATGCATCAACAGTGTAAAATTAATGCAGTTTGACACCACTTTAACTACCATGGCTCAATGCTATAGAATAATGGAAGTTGTAGCTTTTACAGAGACATATTGCCCTTCACTACCAAACTACAAACCCCAGAATTCCATACATGGAACCATGACAGTGAAAGTGGTGCCAAACTGCATTCATTCCATAGTGTATGTGCACCGTGAGAAGGCTTCTGTAGTGACACATTTGGTAGTGGTTGGGAGCTAGAGAAGTGCAAGAAGGCAGAGTTATGAGGCTATGAAGAAGTACAAGTGCAGTACCACAGCTCCAAAGCTCCATCGTGTCTTCAGTGAGAGTCAATAAGGAAATGGACAGCCTCCAGGAACAGTAAGGAGGCTTTCTATGAATTTATTTTCGAGGGGGGCAAGGGATAGTAAGAATAGAGAGGCACCTCCATCCCACCTCTCCAGACTGCCTGATTCTAGGAAACACTCTAGTGTTGTGCAGACAGCACCTGGGATTGTGGATGGCAATTGCAGTCTCACTGTATTTTTACCCACAAAGACTCTGATCTTCATGGAAGATCCAGATCTTTGCAGGTATTTTTTACCCTAGTTTTTTTTAACCCTGTTTGAAATTTCAGAGGGTTGAATGGACCACTATTTATGTTATAGTATGTATGTAAATAAAATGTAACTTTATTATTGGCAAACCCCATCACTTTATTATTCTAATGTGGTTTAGCGTTCATTTACCTGTTTATTTGTGTGATGACTTCTGATTATCTGAACCACCAACTATTATTTACTAACTTATGTAAGAATCCTACATCAACTGAAATGTAGGGGGTCATTTTTTTAAAAAGAAAAAGCACCAAGTTCTAAAGATACTGTGCATAAATCTTCTGCAGCTATACATCTGAAATGTGCCAGGCACATAGAAATTATCAGCCTTGAGGACCAAATTATAATTCAGTTCCTAAACTGGAAGCTTTCTTCAGTGGTTCCATCTGGATATTTGAATCTGATTCTGACTAATTTTCTATGCTTCTTGATGACAACTGTTTTACCTTATGTCACTGTTTCTTCCGTGTGGAAAGAGGTCACCCTTATATAAGCTCATTTGAAATGTGGTTCTACAGACCGCTAAAATAATAAATAAATTAGTCATAGAGCAAATCAAGTCTGAACTGTCCTTAGAAGCCAAGGAACACTCTGTGGAGAGTGTTATCGTTTGGACATAAGAGGACCTGACTCATGTTTGGTACAGTAGAAGAGAGCAGGGAAACACACACACACACACGAAAACTTATACTAAACGGATACAGAATTGTGGCAATAGAATGTAAATCAAAACTCTTGTTTGAAAACTGACTGGGTAGGCTTACTGGAAGAGAATGGTCTTCAACTGCATTTTAAATTCCAACAGCTGTTTAGATGTTGGAGCTTTTCTGGCAGGTCATTTCACAGTTGTGGGGCGGCCGGTGAAAAGATATTCTGGGTGACAGTTGCCAATCAGGTTCTGGCTGGTTGGAGTAGCCACCCACCAGGGGATCTGTGTCCTAAAGGGCAGATTATACAGGAGAAGGTGATCCTGTGGGTAACCTGGACACAAACTATGTAGGGCTTTGAAGATCAAAATGAACACTTTGTACTTTGCCTGGAAACTAATTTACAACAGTGGAGTGACTTTGATATGGGTGTAATATACTCATCCATATTAAATAGGTTTTACTCTGGAGTTTCTAGAAGTTTCCAGAATGTCCTTAGTGTTTTGGAGGTGTGGACAACTGAGTCAAGTTGAATATGGCCTGCTTCACTATCCACACATCCAACAGACCTACTGCTGTGTCATCAGCCACAAGCAGCTCTCTTGCAGAGAGATGCTGGTGGCATCATATCTGGTGTGATCACAATAGGCATCCAGGTCATGCAATAACACCATCATGTCTCTAGGAGGGAGCTGCTTATGGCTATTTATTCACACAGCAGTGGTGATTCCAACATGTCCTCAGATCAGCCTGGACAGCAAAATTCACTAGGCTGCATCTGGAGCATTTTACCTGGGATATCAGGGTAAGTGTAGGCACGACTTTGATCAAGGAGACCATGGCCTTGTATCTGCAAGACCTGAGCATGGCTGTTGATGATAGAGCCACTAGGCAGTCTATTATTCATGGAGTTTCCATAAATCAAAGGCAGACACATAATTCAGGTCAGAATATGGATGAAAGAAATTTAGTTCCACTTCCAAAAGTCTCACATGCACCCTAGAAACCATGTGGGGACAAAGCTCCCTTATGCTTAATCATTTTAACAAAACACTTATTTTCTTACCCTTTTGGGAGAAATGTGCTAAACAGAAGCAGCCCATTGGATGAGAATCAGTGCTAGGACTCATCTTCCAACTCAGAAAAAGGGGAGGGGAAGCAATATGTGGGTGAGAAGATGTTTGTTTATCTTCCTGAGAGTGCCATATTCCAAGAATTGTACTGTTTACATGAGCACTGTTGCTCCTGAATTCCTGCTCTGCAGCAACTATGCACTGATCAGTGTATCACCAATTCTGGACCTTCTGGATTTTAAAAAATAAACTGAATCAATCTAAACACACACTTCAGTGTGCATTGGGGTTATGCGTTTTGTGGATCCCCTTTAATCTCACATCCTTCTGGATTTTCAGGCCTATGTGGATGGGGCCAAAATTAACTTGACAAAATGTGAAATACAATTAAAGAAGCGGTGTGATTTTGATCATGTGCAGACTTCCTCCAAGGAGATCCAGACATGGATTTCAGTAAAGCCCCATAGTTAGATCCATAATAACAATTTTCTGTTTCTTCACATCCCTCTGCATTAAGGAAACATATAAATCTGAAGTCATTTCAACTAGTGAGTAATCTGCATTGTTTAATGAAAATAATTCTCCCCACTGAATGTAAAAAAAAAATACATCAAAAATCAAAACAACCAGGAAGCTAATCATGAATGAAGAAATACCATAATAGCTTTTTAAAAGAAATTCTCTGCAGTATTTTCTAAAATATTGTACATCTTTTTAAAGGGAGAAAAGAAACAATTTTAAAATGTTCCTCATATATTTCTTGCATTTGACAAATATAATTTATATTTCTAAAGAACTGTAATTTTCAAGATTAGTGAACCACATCTCATATTGCAAATTAGAAACATTTACTACTTTGATAGCATAGCATAAAAACAATATTACTAATACTGATATTTCTGCAAAGTCAGCATTGAAGTGCTCATATGGAAGAGAGCAATTTATATGCTGTTTTTGAATATGATATACATATTTAATCATTGCTTTTATCCCCTCCTTGTTTTTCCAAAAAGGTTATGCATGAAGTGCACCAGGATACAAATTAGAGAGAGGAAACCTTCAAATATTAAAAATTAATCCAGATTTTTCTTCTTCTTTTTCTATGAAAACTGCTTGTAGAAAACAAAAGATGGATTATGTGCCTTTGAGAGATGCATTGAAGCATTTTTTTAAAAAAATACATTTTAAAATGGATCCAAGTTTCATTATCACTCTTCCATTCTGCTGTTCTTTCAGGAAAGTTTGCAACAGTGATCTGTGACTTCATGTTTTTAAATATTTGTTGCTTTAGAGGCAATAATGCATCTATCCAGTGCTATATTTTTCCATATATGACATAGCAACTGAAATAAAATATCCTAGGCACATACTAAAATTTTATCTCCAAAAAGCACTGTCACAGCTAAACAAATAGAAGATACGAGGTATATCTAAACTGTGAAAACAAAGCAATTGGACACCACTTTAAGTGCCATGACTCAATGCCATGCAATCCAGGGAGTTGTAGTTTGGTAGAGCGCTAACACTCTAGCAAAGAAGACTAAGGGAAGTTTGTGAAACTACAATGCCCATGATTCCCCATCATTAAACCATGGCAATCAAAGTGGTATCAAACTGCATTAATTCTACCGTGTAGATGCATCCAGAGTACTTGCATCTGTTTGAGTAATTAGACACACAGAACTGAGAAGTTTGAATATCAGGCTTAGAATCTGGAAATGCTGCTGAACCTGCATGGATAATTTATGATTTTGGACTAGCATACATTCTCATAAATGGGATTACTATTTCTGCAGCACCTTATGGAATAGCAGATTAAATCTAAAGGTTGAGGCTGCTTTTAACAAGATTGCTTTAAAAACTGTACAGTTAGTTTGAAATACTTTTGTCAAGCTTTGAAAAAGCATAGGTCAAAAAAAAGCTCCCTGTTATTTGCTGGACTATATTTGCGCACATACGAATATAAATATAAGCAGATTCATATGTGTACATATGAGGTCCAGCACATAATGAAAAGAGTTTTTTTAAAACTTCCACTGGATTTCTCTCTTCCCGCAATCGTTTATTCAAGCTGTTTAAAGATTTTCAGAGAGTTCTAATTGCTCTCCTTTTGTGCTTCCTTTAAATCAGCTGTGTGTCTGTTTCACAACCCAATCAGCTGAACAGCTGTTTTGGACTTTTTAATAGTACAAGTGCACTGGAGAAGTCTACACAGGGGAGAGGAAAGGAAAGCAAGTGTTTTGCATGACTGCAGGGGTACAGAGTCAAGTAAATGAGCATTTTCTTCTAGGCTGAATCAATTTATAAGCGCACCTTTTAAACACATGCTTTTTACATCTTGTCCAACCTCTTCCACACATCCTCCCTTTAACCTGGTTACTTCTGGGTTTTACAGCATGCGTAGAAGAGCCCATAGTCTCAGCAAAGGAGGTACAACAGAAACAAGAGAAAGTTGCCCTGTCCTTCTTTCTTACATTTGATGGATTTTAACTGGGTTTTTTTTAGTGCTTTAGTGCTGTTTGTGTTTAATTCTGTTCTAATGTTTGCATATTTGTATATTTTAAATTGTATACTAATGATTTTATATCAAGCCGCTTTGAGTCCCTTTTGGGAAAGATAAAGTGGGGTATTAATAATAATAATAATAATAATAATAATAATAACTTTTTTATCTATATTTACTTAGGTGGAATTTAAATCTGATAAACTGAAGTCATTGCCTCTTGCTACCACATGCAACTGACTTTTAAACAAATTGTTCTTGCAAAAATACTCATTTGGCAGATTGCACTGTATGGTGTGTCCTAAAATAAATGGCAACCTTTTATGAAATACATGGGAAATCTGGCAACGTTCGGTGAGTCTGATTATCATTGTTTTTGGCATAAATTCCATTGTATCTTGCTTTCCCATTTACCTTGTTACAAATAAGGGCTAAATATATTATCAGGTTGCCAGAATCAAAGGTCATTGGAGGTTGTGCTTATATAATTTAAACAATCAAAGCATAGGTTAGATCAGGTCTCCACCTAGATTAATATAAATAAAGTCTTCTGGTACCAGTTGGCAAGTGTTGTAAATGTTACATTACTAAACCCTTCTGCATCCTATACTTGCAATAAATATTCATAGTGAAATTGCTGAGCTTTACTTAGACAGAACATTAATCTTTATTGAGGGCCCTAATCTAATAACCTATCCCTCTTAATCATATTAGAAGAAGACAGACAAGGCTTAATCAAACTATTCATCACTAGTGGGTACATATTGTACCAGACCGGAAGCTTTATTGCACAATCTCTTGCATTCAATAATGCAAATAGATTACAACTTTTTATTGGGGTAATTCTGGATTATTGCTATTGCATATGCGCTCCTGTTAAACTACATAACATAAAATTGTTAGCCTGATCTGATGTTAGCCTGATCATAATGTTTGTAATGATAATATTGTAAGTATTCTTTTTAAAAATCCATAATGATACAGACAGTAAATTAATCCCATGCCTATGCTGTTAGTTAACGACAGATGAGCCTAATTATAATAGTGTGTCTCATTAAAAACCAGAGTCACTATATAGAAGGAGCATCTGTTTATCTCAGGGACATTCATAGCTCCTGCTTAGTCTTTACTTCCAAGCAAACAGATGGGAAAATGTGATTTCCTCAATCAGTGATTTCTGCATTTGGAGGGGTTGCCCCTCCATTGTATCTCAATAAATATTCAACCTGAAATAAAACAATGATGTTGGTGTCTCAGCTGTAACAAATGTACCATGAAGATCCTCACCATTTAACCAACTTCAATATTTATTCAGGCATTATTCAGGCATTTAAAACTTGCTAAGTAAACATATAGCAACTGTTCATTATTTCCAGTTGATTTATTCTGACCAATTAGAATTAAATCTAGCACTGCTGTTGCTGCCTGGTCCATGGTTAATTAAAAGATGCTGAAAGTTAATTATGAGTAGGGTATGATTGTATAACTCTTCTAACAATGGCTTTTGAGATAGCACCTCTACTGCCCAAAAGGTTTCATAGGGTCTAATACAATTATAAATTAAATATAGTCTGGAGGAAAACTTGTCTAAGGCTGCATCTATAATAATAATAATAATAATAATTAATGCCTTTATTTGTACCCTGCCACCATCTCCCCTATGGGGACTTAGAGTGGCTTACATGAAGCCAAGCCCAAACAACAATTACAATAAA